GAGCAACAGCCGTTCACGAGTATAACAGAATAGTCAGCGATCATTTTAGGGAGCCCGCCCCATTACACCGCCACCAGTTTGGACATTTGAATGCACTTGCACTGTGAACGTTACAGAGTTCCAAAAATAACGTTCTCAGTAAATTTCTTTTTTGTGGTTATAACACGTGATTACTTCACCAATTCTAAATAGATAGATAGATAAACACTTTGTTTTTGCAGTTAACAAAGTTTACCCTCAAATGGGTTAAAGCTGAAAATCAGTGTTTTGTTCCTTGAACAATGTTCCACGCTGAGCTTCGACCTTTTTGTATTGCTGCAGATCACACATAATAACACAATTTTATAAATCTTATGTTGTTTTATGTATTATCTATTCTTATGTACATGTTGTGTGTGATTAGTAACAAACAAATAAACGATATATCTATCTATCTATCTATCTACTCTCGTGTCGGTTTCATATTCATTTTGTAACCGTTGTAGCTGCCTTTTTTATGAAGCAAATAAAATTTTTGTTGGTACAAAATTTACTAGTAAATATATAATTCCATGTTCAAATTACAAACACTTTTCATCTCCATATTTTTATTCTATGGTAGTGGTGTGTTCATATTTGAAGTAGGTGTATATACGGAGTACGAAGCAGTTTAATTCATTATAACCTTATCATAGGTACTGATCGAACCCTGTGGCCGCAGCTTCAGCTCCACCGTACAAACAGCACGAGTATGCATTAGCGGCTAATGTGCCGCCGCCGCGACATTGTCCTGTACCATAAGTACGCTGCGCTGCGCCCTCGTATATGGCTATCATTAAAAATAATTGCGAACCAGATGTCGAGGCAGCGACTCGGTTAATTCAAATTTAATCGAATCACATTCCTGCAGTCGTCATAAATCCTGGCAATGCGTCCATTCATTAGCGATCTTAATTAATAGAGGGATCAGTAAGTAGTGCAGCTTTGTGCTTAGTTTTTGTGCGTACGGCAGCACCGTTAGAGATATGAGAGCCTGGATTGAAGAAATATAATAAGTACCGCATACGAGGCATCATTCTTTGTACTTGTATATTTCTTCAATCATTTTATAATCTACTTCAATAGAACTTATTGGAAGGGTAACTTTATTTTGTTGAAATTAGCAACAAATCCAAATGTATCCAATTAATCGGTTTTTTATTTGTGCTACTTTTAAACATCACCAGACTGTCTTACTTATGGTCGTATTAGTAATTGGTTCACCATTAAAATTAAGTTCTGTAGAAAAAAGCCATAGTTTTATTATTTAATTATAGTGACCCGGCCCGAGTTCGATTCGAATATTAATTTAGAATTAATATTCGAATAGTAAATCAGTGTTATTCGAATATGAACGGATATACTCGTATCTATATTTTTCATAAAACAATACAATAACAATACAATTTCAATAAAACAAAGAGTCATCAATAAAACATTTAGTAAACTTAATTTTTATCAAGATAACGAATCAAAATAGCCAGAATGGTGTTCTTTGCGTTTCACTATTCGTATATCGTTGATTTTCAGTCTTCGGAAAAATAATGAGAAATATACCTTCAGCATAAGTTATTTCATTGCCTTCTGTTTGTCTATTTATCGCAGGAATGATTACCAGAATCAGTCTTTGGACTCAACTTCCTCTCCAATTTTGCTCGATCTTCGATGTCTTTCGTAACTAGATATCTGGATTTATCCATTTTACAATTTCCTCTGCACAATTCAGAAAGATCTGTCTATCGACATGGACTGCAGAGCAAATATTTAGTCTTCGTCGCAGTCTCAGACTAATATTCTTAAGCATATTCTTCCAGATATTTACTTTATACTCTAAATGCCATATGTATTTGCTTATAAACTTAAAAGTGGTGAACTGAGCCCGCGGGCTGAGATTTGATTTATCCCCAAAACAATTAAAATCGAGGTCAATGTAATTACTTGGAATAGAGCTATTCCACGTAATGGAGTAGCTGTTTAAAGATATAAATTGAAATAAACGCCAACAGAAGTCCGTTTGCGGCCAGTTTATGAGTTACAAATTACAATTTAGTGTTATTGGAAGGATATCAGAAAGTACATGAAATATCCATATCGCCGGAGGCGTTGACGACCTTAATGGGTCTGATCTCATCCTCACGTCTCGAAATCATTTTGTCCAATTTTAATGAAATGATTTTTTTACGCAATTTGAAATGGAAAAGAAGATCACAAAGACATAAGGTCACAAGACGTTACAGCGTGCAATGTGGATCCGAGGTTAAAGGACAAAGGAAATGCTTCACGGGAAATGTCATTCCACATTGTTACGGTACGGATCACGTAAGAGTTTGCTAACATATATAATGTTAATCAAATTTATCACGTCCTATATGTGCTAATTTAAAATGTAGTTCAGTTCCTTGAGGAATTTTTACATTTAGTTTAAGTAGGCACCTATAATTAAGAGGAATTAGACAATCACACTAATGTCCGTTTCAGAAAAGATGTCGTCTAGTGAGAAAACAATCTATGAACTTAAAATGTAGGTATCACGAATTATTGTAGTCTCATATTAATTTTAAAGAAAAATCCTGCTTCTTCTTTAAAGTGAATAATGTACTAAATCATCTGTTACTGTTACTGTCCTGTGTATTTGTATTAATGCTAAACTTTAAATTAAATACAGTCTCCTGCAGCTGCATACGAGTACAGGAAAAGTACAGGAAAAGATCCAAGATTGCCGGAGCCCGGGAAGACGCAAAATCTCCTGGTTAAAAAATTTAAGGTAGCGGTTCGGAATGAGTACTCAATCCCTTGTCAGGATGGCGGTGGATAAGGTCAAGATCGTCATGATGATCGCCAACCTCCGGTAGGAAATGGCAGCTTAAGAAGAAACCTTAGTTCCCATCGTAAATTTAAATATATGTAAACACAGCGAAAATTTAATATTAACTAATGTTAAACCGATTTTAATAACTCTGTTTAATTTGTAATTTATAGGACTTACTACGTTGATTTAATATTATTTCTATTTGCGATTCAAGTAGAAATTGTTTGTAAACTAAAATTTTAAAGGACAAATCGTATGAGAACACAATTCAATTAATAGAGGCGACATCTAGTGAAATATTTTGAAGTTATACAGTTGCGAGTAAGCATAAAATAGGCTTCTGACTAAACGGCTAGCATTAAGTTTCGGGTTGCTTTTGAAGTTTCTAAAAAACAGCAGAGGGCGCTGTATTCTATTATAATATTTCCGTGATGCTGAAACAAACATAGAGACAGACAGACAGATCTAATTTCTAAAAAATATTATGATGGCCTCTATTGGTTTTATTAGGACTCGTATGTCAATTTAACTCTTGACATTTCCCTTACCTTGGCGATACAGAAAATGTCAAGTCTTTGATATTTTAAGCAATTAATCTTTAAAATAACAAACGACGCAACTAGAAATAATCTTGACAAAACAATAGGCAACGAGATATTTCGAATACAATAGATTGAAAAGATTTAAATTTAGAACACCGAATTAAGTAGCAGATTTTGCTTCGCAAAAAAAAACGCCAGCTTAGAAACTATAGATAGTTACATTAGAAAAAGAGTTGTGAAAATCGGTTTAGATATGACAACCTAGCCATAAAAAATATAGACGTGTTGAAATCCTTTTTTTAGAAGTAGCCGCCCTTATATACTTTAATACGCAACCCAGAATACAAGCAAAGCTTCGCAAAGATAGAGAGTACATTGTAAGTCTTTTTAAGGGACCAGGCCCCCTTGGAATCTACTATATCTTAAATACGCCAATGCTTAAGAGTCAATAGCTTCAGTTCCCAGACAGAGACAATTCCGATCTAATCCGACGAAGCGGTGACGCGGCCGCGCAATATGGGAACCCAATACAATGGCCATAAATGCACTCGATATGAAAGCGCATCGAAACGATGCGCAATAAAGCCATATGTGTATCATCTCACTGCTGCAGTATTTCATTGAAATCAATTCTATTGCCTGCACTTGAGATGACGGCTTGAGCCTGGGAACATCAAATGATTTGTTATATACCAGTACGTAATCCAATAATGAAACTCAAACAATAATACTCTAATCTTCTACCGTATAAGTATGTTGTATGCAACATAATAGGTAGGTATGTTTATACATATAACTGGACAACGGGTATTTCATTTAGCTTAGGTATCATGAAACGAAATCCTGCACGCCTGCAATAGTGAGTGTAAAGGAAGGAATTAAAAGCATTTTCCTTTTTGGTAAAATGTTAATTATCAAGGACATTTCCTTAAGAGGATAGCCGAAAATGACAAATAATTTCGGTCATTCCTTACTAAATACAGCGTATCTAGATATCAAGTGTGCGTGTATTTTACGGTTTCGATAATTTTTCACATAGACTATAAGAAATATAAGGGCGGGGGGAGGGGGGCAAAAGGTGGAAAGAGGATTTTTATAATTTCAAATAATATTTACTCAAATAGACTTGTTCACAAGCACTTTTAAATCGTCATTTTTTTTATTTACTGTAGAATTCGGAAAGTTGTTATCTGTTGAGAAGAGCCCGCAAGAAACTAAACAGTTACTCTTTTAAATCTCTGTTAATATAAATGTAACATAACATTTTTTAGTTAACATCACAATTACAACAATTTTCCCCGAGCAAATAGCGAAATCATAAGCGACTTTAGTAAGTTCTAAAAATAAATTATGTAGTCAAATGACCTGAATAAATTTATAAATTTCAAACTAGTTAAGCAACCTGATAAAATATCAAAGTTAAAGTCACCTTATACAAATAAATTTTGTATTTTTCCGCGTGTAATGGTGGTCAGCGACCCTGTTGCTAGCAATACATCCTGTTAGTTGGTCCCTTCTAACAACTATCGTGCACCATGAATCCGATACAATGACATCGTCTCTCTCTCACCTGTCATCCCTCACTGGTAGGCTACCAGTGTTAGCATTATTCTATAAAATAAACCATAAAACATATTTAAATCATTTATTGTCTTAATTTAATATTGTTCTTACGTCTATTCTCTCTTACTACGTAATTGACTTCATTATAAATATATTTAATGCAAACTGTGATATCAAAATATCGCTAATTAAACAATGAAATAAAAATATAATACAATCCCATAATCCTAAATACCTACTTTGTACAGAGTAACAAACACTTAAGCACTATCTACATTAGTTTTTATACAGTGAATCAATGAAGCATACGGCCTGTCAGATGGTAAGCAGCTAACGCTTGCGACTTGAGCCTTGAGACCTCAAGATGGTAAGTCATACTAATAATTTAAAAAATAACAATGATAAATTAATAAGCAGGAATAATTTGTTTTTATCAAAGCTTAAAAATATGAATTCATGATTGCACTGTAAAAAATATACACTAAAATTTTATATTATTGTATACATAAGTACTTTACGAGTACTATATGAAAAAATAAAAGATTACGACCTGAGGACCTACCATGAAATGTTTTTCGAAATTTCGGAGCCGAACGAAACAGAAATTTGATGTTAAAATTACATAATACATGCCGTTTGGAAATATTAAAAATGTTAAAATATTGTTCCTTTGGACTTTTATGATATGAAGAACGAAATGTTAAACTCCATTTATTGGTCCGATTTTGCTATAAACAAAAGCACGAAATTGAGTCCGAAATTTCGGAATTTCATTTCATAGTAGACCCGCAGGTTTGCATAAATCCGTAAGAGTTCTCCATTGGCAAACCTAGAAAAGAAAATTAATGGTTAACCAATTTGAGAACTCTTGTAGTTTTGTGGGCGCCTGGTAATCTTTTTTAATCTATCCATCATAATGATTATAATTTAAGTGTCAGATTGATGAGTTAACTTCTGGTAAGGTAGTCATTGGCAATGCTCTTCCAGTCGATAGGGTCCTGGTCGGTGGGCTTAGTTTTCCTGATCTTCCGAAGTAGCTCCCATCCATTGGCCTTCTCTGTTGATGTTACATACGTGTTTTTCGGATCTTGCGCTGCAGTGTACGCGCCTAAGATTAGGCTTTGGACTAGACGTGCAGATATTAGAGTCTGAAATAGATATAGAATATTATAATTAGACAATGAATGTTTTTAATAAATATGAGATTTTTTTAGACGTTAATAGTTACATGACGCCCATATTATTGCAGACGTCTATAGGCTATGGCAACCGTTTACCAACAAACAAAATGTGATCAAAAACTAATATGAAAATTTAATGTTGTCACTTATAAAGACAAAAAGAAGTTTTTACCAACCTTCAGCAGCCTATATTCTTCATCGGGCAGCCTCCTGTTGACAGTGTACCCGGCGAGGACCAGACCTCCAGACGCTGGGTTTCCACTCACCAGGATCGCGTACGTCATCGCGATGGCCAGCTCGAAAACGTAGTACGAGTACTGGATATCACCGAAGTCTATGATACCAGAGATGCGATAGTCTGACTGACTGGAAAGAGATGTTTATTTAAAAATTGTAGTGATAAAGTTCGTCGTAATGAAGTTTTATTTTATGTAGTGGATGAAAATGAAGTGGTAACTCCGCCTGTGCTGTTGGTTTATGCTAACGGTATACCAGTGAGAAATGATACTTGGGGAAAAGTCAACTCAGTTACGCCCAATATGTTGAATTTACTGGGAATTGACCACGGTAGTTTCTAAAAGGAACTACGTAAAAGTCGACCTGATAGAGTAGACGACAATGAGGACGTTGGTCTTGTTACTACCGATCCCTTTCCCTTATGAGGAATCATTTATTGGGGCCTATCAAGTGACATATTGTTGAAATAATGTTCATACATTCTATCAATAATATCAATTCCTTACTGTGTCTGCTATGAAATACTGGGCTCCAAAATTTCTTTCCCACATAAACACAATTTATTAACACAACAAATTAACTCAGAAGGTTGTAATGTCTGAGTGAGGTGACAGCAAAGTAAGCCAGTCCCAAGCCAGCAACATTATTTTGGCTTACCTCAACAGAATGCCGTCCAATATGTGCGCGCAAACCCTCAATACAGATGCATTTAGTTGCCTATTTCAATAATAAATCTCATTCAAATATGCTGGGAGAAATATGGGCATGCCAGTGTATGTGTCATATGGTTCTATGTGAGATTTATTGTCATTTTTAGTCGAGATGAACTTAAATCAATGCCTATAATAAAATTGATGATATATATAAGTATAGAGAAACTTTCCCGTATGTTATTTTTCTTAGACTGTGAACTAAGCGAACGCTTAGTTACAAATGCGACCTGAGTAACTAAATATCTAATAATATAATATCACGCTAGGTTCTTTACAAGATCAGCAGACAGGTCAGAGTGCCCAGCTACACGGTAACTTACAAAAATATCCCCCTTCATCTATTTTTATTGTCTCATGCATGTTATTGAGCCGAAAATCCTCTCCCGTTCTTCAGTTACACTATAAGTATGTCAGTCTGATCTTGTTCGAAATGTATCATAATAGGCATAGCTGAAAGAAGTGATCTATTTCTTGGGATTTCCTACTTCCAAAATCCACGAGTACGAAGCGTACGAACCTTCCACCAGGTTTGGCCACGACGAGGATATTCATCTCGTTAACGTCCCCGTGTATGACGCCGCGCTCCAGCTCCTCCAGACGTGGCACTACTGCGTACTTGAACTCTTCGATCACCTGCAATTTTTCGCATCAACTGTACTTTTATGATTCCTACTATCTCCAATTGGGGTGAAAGGGATTATTTTTACCAGTAATAAAAAAATTTTTTATTAGTAATGGTGTTAATTTCTCTATTTACATCCTATTAGATCGATCTCCACGCGATCCCCCTGAAAACTATCGTGGTTAATTCAAGTGGAATTCGTCAGGATGGACGGACCTGCTTTCATCGTCACCTATCATCCCTCACTGGTGCCCGGCAGCGTATACAGATAGCGCAGGCGGGGTTATCATTTCTTTATCACCCATTGAAAGTATCTCCAGTCTACTTACGCGTATGTTTTTTTATAAAATTTACAATAGAAAGAAATTGACGTTCCACTTGATAGGAAGTGATAACCGTCACCTATATACATGAACAGCAACATGTATTTGTTATTCTTAATAATTATATATTTTTTCTATTATAAGAAATAAAGCGAATCTCATAATGGGAGAACGTATAGGTCTTTATATAGGCTGAGATTATGTTATTACAAGTACCTCCTCAGCTAAGTCCAGCTTTTCCGAATCCTTGATGACGTATTTGAACTTGTCCAACTCCGGGACCTTGCTCAGCATCCAGATGTGTTCCCGAGACACCAGGCCCGAGTGATTGAAGTTCTGCAAACAGGTTAAAAATATATCAATAATTGTATTAATTGTGTCACTTCATAGATGGATTATATTGTTTTGTAATCAATATTTGACCATTTGAATCGTGACTATTCTAAATAGTGTGAACATATGTTTTGCTTTAAAAATGGATGAAGCAAGTCTAGTGGATCTGAATTAAAAGACTTTATCATGTGCTCTCTAAGTAGTTAATAAGGAATTAGATGTAATTCATAGATAATAACTATTTCTGCAATCATTCACAATACGTAACTAAAAAACTAATTTATTTCTTTGGAATTATGTCTTAGTCTGATGGTATTAAAATTCAGATCAGATAGAATTTTAAATTAGGTTCCCAAAAAAAAGTTCAATTGTGATCAAATTAACATGGGACCAACATGACTTCTTTTTATTTAAGGGTTTCCTCTTCTCGATGCAACTAATCCATGGATTCACTTTCATCAATTTCAATTTCAACAGAACTTAGCACAAGTAAACTCTTTGGATTAAAAAAATAATATATATGAAGCTCGGTTAGGAATTCACAGAAAAGATATTACATAAGATGTAAGATAAAAAGAAATAAAACAATGATCCAGATTTAGTACATCTTTTTTTTACTTTCAAATGTCCATTATATTAATAGCTTGATAAAATCGAATTAAGTCAACCAAACAATGGAGTTTGCGCATAATCCCAATTTATTTGGGGTCAGCATAATAAGTTTTTTATCCATATTACAAAAAGATTTGGCTTATAGTTTTACGACCGGCCGCTTCCCTGACGTCAACCCTCTTTGGAAATGCATTTGTTGGTGGTTTCTGCCACCTACGGTATGGAGGAAAGGATTGAGGACTAGTGCATAGCAACGTCACCTTGAATGCATACTTAGCGCCGGCACATGTAGATGACAATACTGATATACTGTTCATTGTAACATCACATATTTCATGCTTACAATTATTACATGCAAGGTTAAGAACGATCCTAATGAAGCCCGTAGTGTAGATCTTTAGAAAATACACAATATTTATATACACTGGGTTCACTTCATGGCAGTTGGGCATCTTACATGATTATTCCTAGCAACACAAAGTCGCCGATTACAGACACCAGTATCCAGTAATTTAACTGATCTCTCTTTCAGTGGGAACACAGTATTTGAACACGCTGCTTACTATCGAAATATAGTGACAGTTAGGTAAGTAGACAAAAGTTTCCTGCTCCCTAAACAATTTAGCTGTGTTATAGGTTACGAAACGACAATAATGTGACTGGAAAATTTTTCGAAAATTAGATTTGTTAATTAATTGAATAAAGAAATTAGAAGCTTCTTATGACACAGAATATTATAAGTTTATAATAACAATTTTAATTTCATGAAACCGCAGATTCTTCAGATGGAGGATTTTTATCGTCACTTTAATTTATCCCCGCTAGCCATCGGTTGCTCCAACTAGGTATTTCACTACCACTTCCACGTACTAAATCTTTCAAACCGAAAACAAATATATCAGTCACTTCAGTTACAGCAGAGGATCTTACCTGCAGCTTATTATCCAAGTTAGCCACGAACTCTCCCAACTGATATAGAAGCGACTCAGTCAACGGTACGTTCTTCAGGATCTCCCCGGGGACGAACTCCAACAACCTCACCGCGTGCCTCTTGCCGCTAATTGTTTCTATCGAATGCAGATGTCCGAATACATTGCGCACTGGCTTTGGACAAGTTACTGAACGTGTATCTGTAGAAGAGAGATGAAAATATAAGTGGAGGAAAATGTGATGTGCTAATATATTCTTTAACATCTCCAAGCCGTCGTTATGATAATAGTCATCACCCAAGAGACTACAGCACGGGGATCTTCAAAAAGGGGGTAAAGAGGTTTCTTCAGTTAGTTTATTAGGTTTGTTAGGTTTTATGGTATAAAATTAACTTTTGCACCAGTATTGTTGATACGTTGGTTCCTAGTTGCCTTTTATGATATCTTTGAGATGAAATGATAAATCTTAAAACAAATAACTCACTCAGGAAGTTCATAATCTCATTCTGCGCTTCTACGACACTGACGTCCTGGGAGTCCATTGAGTTCATAATCTTCAGCACGTAGCCGTGGGGGCTGTGGCTGGTGATTAAAGGGTTCTTAACGTTGGGGTCCTCCGTGATTTTATAATTCTTGTCATCGTAGCCGTTCAGTTCCACCAACTCCAGCACTGAGATGCCGTACAGCCTCTCAGCGAGAAGCTTGACACCCTCGTGATCGATGATGGGCCGGATATCAGCGCCCGGCTGGAGACTGGCAGAAATGGTGTCCGTCATATTGGCTTCAGTTTGTAAAGTTCTGTGATCTGGAAATGAATGAGAGATTAGATTAAAGAGTTATGCTAACGCTCCACCTGCTAAGTGACAATTGCAAATGCACTTTGCAAGATAGTCAGAGAGAACTGGGTGCCGAAAGTCTTTTTATATACAAATCTCTTATTTCATCTATTTTGTAACTAGTTTCATGCAACAAGATGTATTAGATATAGACGAGGGCCTTCTCATAAAAATATATTATGATCAATCTTCACAGCAGATCTTTTTTTGTTTTTGGGTGTGGCTGGTAACTTAAACTCATCTGATTAAAACTAAGAGTTAACTATTCCTTTCCAACGTCCCTGCCAAGCGTGGCAATTAGTGGCAAATTGCCCCTTATGGAGGCGGCCTATGTTCAACAGTGTACAGTTAACGGCTGATATCATGATGATGATTGCCTATTCACGGAAAGTCCCATAGACGTCATTGAATAAAATGTGAAGCCCATGGTATCCCTCGCGCGTTATCTGTCCTAAGGGCTGAGGTGTGATGACTCGACACCCTAGGCTGTAACTGTCACATCCTACCCTTCAAACAGGAACACAGCCACACAAGTGCAGCTTCTTGGCAGTAAAAACAAGTGAGATAAAATTGCCTCAGTTTTGTTTTGTGTATAAAGTCTCTCTCTGATAATTTATGAAAGTTATGACAATAAGTTCAACGTACATAAAAACATCGCGGCTTTAGAGATGTTTTTCCCTTGAACACTCAGGTTGCGGAATGAGCTCCCTGCCGAGGTTTTCCCAAGAGACTACAGCATGGGGTTCTTCAAAAGGGGGGCAAAGAGGTTTCTTCAGGGTCCAGAACGCGCGCGTAATACCTCTGGTACCATCTGGTATCATCTGATCCTAGTATTGCAGGCTACGCTAACCGCTAACCATCAGATGGACCGTATGCTTGTTTGCCACCTCAGTGGTATAAAAAAATCGACATTTATCATGGCAGAACTAGTTTTTTTTTTAAATCACATTACTAATTCGATTTTATTGAAATATCTATGGACCGATCTGAAGGAATGTTGTAAAAAAATTCAGATGAGTTTATAAATGGCGGAGATCTGAGGTAATAAACATAAAAATACAACTTTTTGAAGTCGGTTAAAATGTAGAAAACAGTAAGATTAGCAGAGATGCTCATAACAACCAGACTAGATATAATGTAGGCGACCGCAGCCAGCCGGTGCCGGCTCACGGTATCGCATTGTTTGTCATTCTCGGCATCTTTATCGGACCCTGTTTCAATAGTGCCCTTTCTCATCTTTCTCAGGTCAAGTATATGTTTGACAAACACGATATGGATTTATATAGACCTAACTGTACATACTTTGTGTCTATTTTCACCTAAAATTATGTACAGGAGGAAAGGAATTGTTAGTAATGTGGACTGCCAGTCCCATTGCTAACAATATACTCTAACCGTTTGACCTCCACGTGGTGCCCCCTGGAAATCATCGTGCTGAAGTCCAAGTATATTCATCACGATGAGCTAACTGACCTGCCCTTTCATTGTCACCTATCATCCCTCACTGGTGCCCCGCCAGCGTATACCGTTAGCGCAGCCGGAGTAACCATTCCATTATCATTCATTGAAAAAAATTATGTGCAAAAGATGAAACAAAACTCCGATTTTTTATATAAAGTTATGTTACAAAAGGTTCGGGAAAACCTTGACTAAACGTTTCCAAATCACACTAATAACGACCGGATTGAATTCATTACATGCTGCTACTGCCACTCATGAGTAAGGGTCACGGGTAGTGGCGAAACTAGTCAAGTTTCCTCGACAAAAATACACGTAAGTTAATTTTGTCGTTATTAGTATTAAAAATGGAACAAAACAATTAGGCGCGAGAGGGAGGTCGCTATCAGTATAATTTTGACATCAACACAAGTGCTTCGATAGTGGATATAAACGAGTACCTATAGCCATAATTGCGGTACGTTTTATGCTATTTGGCATAACAGACAAGTCTACCACTCACCTGATGGAAAGGGGTAGTCGTCGCCCATAGACATGAACAGCACCGTGGACACAATATCAATGGTGGACAAACTTTTTTAATGGGGGACCATAAAGTTTAAGAAATTTTAGAGGAGGACCAGAATTATAGAAAAAATGTATTTTGTGTTAAAGCTTTTAAACATACCATTATAAAATCATTACCGCATTACACACAAATGTTACAAATTACCTTTTACCTTGAATAATAATTAATTTAACTTTTATTCGAAGGCCCTGCCATGGTAGGCGTGTGAGACATCTGGAATTGTTTTTGATTTACCATAATATTTTCGAACTACGCGCCTAGTTCAGCTTCACCCATAGTTTAAGCATCTATTATTCTACTAAGTAGAATCTACTTTCTACTTCTCGACCGTCAAAACGTAATTACAGCGGCCCATATACTATCCATGTCAATGGAACTTTCGGCGGGCTGGATTAAATACTTTCGCGGGCCGAAGTTGGCCTGCGGGCCGTACTTTGTTCTTGACTGCATTATATTATGACACTTACTGTACACTAACGTTATCGCTTCTGCACATTTCTGAACTGAACATTTTTCCAAATATTAGGCCTGCCAACAGCTTTCAACATACCTTTGTTTTTTTTTTTTACAACTTATGATGGAAAGTGGTAACCGTCGCCTATAGACATGAGCAGTACCATGGACATAACAGAGTATACTGTTTCGCTCATGATCCCCCATGCTTTGCTATTCCTGAGGACTCAGATGTTATTCCTCTGTACCCGGTAAATTCACGCCATATCCCACCCTTCAAACCGAAACACAGCCTTGCAAACATAACTGCTTCACGGTAGAAACACGAATGGGACAGAGGTACCCAAGCAATCGACTTTTGTACAAAGTCTCCCTCTGGTGTTGAACTATAGTTAGTTCTAGATATTATCTTAAAATAATGCTATGAAATAAAACATAACACGACGCGTCGCCAATTATAACTATTTCGTGTACTCGCAAAGTTCAAATTGTATTATCACTATTTGTGTAAACCGTGTCGTGTCGCGCCGTGTCGTGTCGCGTCGCGTCGCACGCTGAGTGGAGAGGCGTGTTCTATTGATTTGTATCAATTTGTATCATGTATCAACATCGCCATCGACTGGTGATGTCATTGACCGCTCTATATCACATACAAGAAGACTTTATACCTCGTCATACGCACATGCGCCCTTGTCGACTGAACGTTTTAATGGAACAGTACGGTGTACTTTTTTATTGGATGAAAATGGAGTGGTAGCCCCGCCCGCGCTAACGGGATACGCTGGCATAGCACCAGTGAAGGGTGATCGATGAGGATGAAAACAGGCCAGTTAACCCATCATGATGAATTCATCAGGAATTAATCATGATAGTTTCCAGGGAGAACCGCGAGGAGGTCGACCTGGTTGGATATATTGCTAGCAATGGGATTCTTAGTCTCCATTACTAACAATCCCTTTCCCCCAGTACGGTGTACTAGGTACAGTGCATACAAAGTAACTAAAATATAAAGACTAGAGCGGGATTGTTAGTAATGGAGATTAAGGGCCTGCTAGCAATATACCCTGTCAGGTCTTCCCGTGGTCCCCCTGGAAACCATCGTGCTGAATTTCTAGTATTTTCATCACGATGGACTATCTGATCTACCTTTTCCATTCTCACCTATCACTTCTCACTGGTGCCCCACCATCGTATATCGTTAGCGCAGGCGGGGCTACCATTCCATTGTCATCCATTAAAATATATATATATATATATATATATATATATATATATATATATATATATATATCTATATATATATATATGCAAACACAACTGATTTACAGTTGAAACACGAATTTGAAAGAGGTATCCGAGCAAACGACTTTTGTACAAAGTCTCCCTCTGGTACAGGACTGGTATACGCTGCTGGAGTACCAGTGAAGGATGAAGTCACGTTAGTTCGCCAGTTGATTGTAACGTAGTCTTTTGGAGACTATTTTGGTAAAATCTTAGTGATTTCGTCACTCAAAGTCAAATGTCAAAGTGTCAAATTTCAAAACTCAATTTCATGTTTTCATTCATACCGAAATCGGCCCATTAAATGAGGCTTAACATTTCGTTCCTCATAAATCCTACTATAAAAGTCCAAAGGAACGATATTTGAACATTTTTAATCAGCATGTATTATGTTTATATTTAGAATAAGTTTAATATTGTAATCTTTTGGGGAAAACAATAAAGAGTATCTATCTATCTAATTTAAACATCAATTTTGTTTCGTTCGACACCAAAATTTCAAAAAATTATTCATGGTAGGCCCTCTGACTCCATGTTCTTCTATCATCCCTCAGTGGTAAGTACTCTACCAGCGTATACCATTTCACAATCCTTCCTACTAATTTTCTAAATCTGAAAGTTCGAAATAGATGTTTAGTTTGAATGTTTGCTATATAATCACGTATCCAAGTGTCGAGTTTCATTCGATTCGTGCTTGATTTAATAACAAAATTCGATACCCTTTTCCATACAAACTTGCACGTTTATAATTACAAGAATAGATACCTACGGGGGCCATGGCACTTTCCACCTATTTTATTTTATTCTGAAACTCCTTTTTCATTGAGTCAATTGTGAATTTATTTGCATAGGTTTATTATTGTTATTTATTTATTTTCTACATTTATATACATTCTAAGTTGTATAAAATATATATATATATATATATATATATATATATATATATATATATATATATATATATATATATATATATATTTATTATTTATGCATTATTACATATGGAGGTATATACAGTTACTTTTTATATGTTTAATTCTAACTAAATATTATTGAGTTTTATCTTTAGCTGTACATTTTAAATTCTATAGTGTTATTTTATCTTCTCAAAGGTTGACTGTAAGAGATCCCTCTATGCGTTAATTCCGCCATTATACTTAAATCTTTTAATGTGTCCAATATAAATTATGTACAATAAAGATTTTACAAAACAAATTTAAAGAGTCAACCCATCGTCACAAAATTCGGAATTCCTTCACGTAATGGATGCCTATTTCAAATGCTCTTGTCTCGTCGGCAACTCCGCGGTCGCAGGCAGATCTTAATAATTTTATAACTGATTTCAAATGCTTATTTGTTATATTACTTCACGTTTACACTCAAATAAAATGAGTTTGTTTGTTTGTTACCATACAGCGTCTTAACGGCTTAATCAAAAACTATGACATTTATTTATATTACATTTATATTATACGTAATATATTAAATGGAGAATTAGTTCCACCTGGGTGGGTTTAAAGTCTGTTATTTTTTTATTGCGGAATAAACACCCATAATTTTTGGGTGTTTATGATTTTGTACGTATTGTCCCGGTCACTATACTGGACATAGACAATATTATTATGCAGCCTAAGAATAAAAAACTTTTAATTTGATTTTGAGTTTATTAAGAAAGAGATGAAAGTAAAATGTAAAACTACAGTCAAACTGTCAGCAGAGTTATTACAAGTATTAAATAGATGGTTTAGGCTCTATTTCGGGTGAAACTGTTATGTGGTGAATAGTAAAAGCAAGCCTGAATGTCCTCGCATTCAGCTTTATAAAAAACGACATAATTAATGTCTAATTAAATTTTTTCAACAAAATTTCTTTTGTTATTATCAATACAGTTAGGATACAAAGCGCGCCGGTGTCTGCCGCCTGTCGGATGTTTGCCCTTTCCACCATATTATATTTTGTCTAATGACGCGCGCCCGGCAATGTGATAACACGCCAAATCTGTTACATTTGACAAACTTAAGTTTGGCTTAATATCTCCAAAAAACTTGATGTAATTATTAATTACATATAAAAAGATACTGATGTTAGAATTTTTTGCGTAATATTATTTTCATAATAAAGCATTCTAAATGTTTTAAAAATTTCGTTCTATAAAATGTGTATAATGCCAAAATACTAACATTCTTACCAATCATCACTTAGATAAATTTTAATTCTCTTGAAAAATCTTCTCTAACTGTTAATATTTGCAAAGCTATATTAAAACTTTTTAACTAGCATTAATTTCATCTTGTAGCACAAGGCAATTTTAGTGTTTGTGTAGAATCTTCATTTTTTTATTAACAAGGAACTTAATCGTTGAGAACAGTTTTTATTATATTTATGGCTTGCAAATAAACACAGTTTATAGTAACATGTGGATATTTGAGTTTTGTTAATTCGAATTTTCTAATTATCGCCAATAAGTACAAGAAACTTATTTGCTCCATACACTTTCATTACTTTTTCAACTTCTTGGCTAAGGTTTCACTAGTGTGAGGATTACTTTCTGTATTCAAACTTTTAACGTATGCAGGTTGAGGTTTATATAAAAATCTTTTATTCCTCATTTAACTCAAAAATTTCTCTATATATTTTATCAAGTTTTTGTCGCTAAAGCTTTACGTGAAGGTATTTTAAATTTTGGTTGCAATTTTTCGAATCCATAAAGGATTAATAACAAATATAGCTCTCGCTAATATATGATCATAAACTCAGCATTTATTGTAGTGTTAGCAGACGACGAGGGGCTTATAAAAGAATCATTTGTCTCTATCTCTGACAGTCCATTTTGGTTTTGGACGAGCTATCTTTTATATTTCATAGAGTAATGTTTCTGGAGATTTTGGACAAGTGATAAGATGTTGATCAATTTGTACAGTATTACAAAGCAAAAACAGACTTGTTTGGTAAAGTATAGTGCTCCCATATGCGTAAATCTTTAGGTCTCCCCATTGAACCAAAAAAATGAACGATGATTAGTTGGTCTGACGAAAATTCAACAATAGAGTGCCTTTTTTTTACTGATTATTTCTTGTTATTTACAATAAATTTATTAAAAAAATAATAAAATAAATACAAAAAACCTTTGTAAAATTACATCTCCTCGGAGGATTAAACGCAGAATAGTTTATTATCGTATTGTTCTGTATTTTTCTCAGCAACTTCTTTAATTCGATTAGGTACTTACGCATATTATGTTAAAAATAAATATCTAGTACACATCTTAGGCTATCCACCATTATTATCCAATGACGTCTCAGCTAACTATGCACTATCATCCAAAATAACCGTGTATTGAAAATTTTATCCCAGTCGGTTGAGGATTGAGGATAATTGCATCAACATACGAACATACCTACATACTTTTATTTACATAACGCAAGCTAAATAAAAGCTTGTAATAATACATCTAATTTTAAGTTAAAATTGTTAAGTGATCATGATATAATTGTATCATTCAAAAATCCACTTACCTTTAATTATTTCTTGTTAAGTATAAATATTATTTCAAATCTGCTCCCTTAATATGCACTTTTTTACTGCTTTTCCTACCTAACACGTTACCAGGAAGTCACGTTACCAGAGTCAGAGTAATAGTGAACACGTTTGACAGTGATTGTCGTCGCCTCATATTCAGCGTCGACGAATAGGGGAATCCCCAGTCATAATGTATTGCATGCGTGGCGGTCTTACTTCAAATCCATAAACAAAGAGATAATTACAGAACTCGATACTAGATGGCGCTGTTTTTGTTTGAAGAAAGTTTGCGGGCTAAAATACATAGAATTTCATCAATGACTTCCACAAAGAACAACATTTCTGTTTTTTCTAAGTCCGTATCTCTTCCGTATATTTCATAAGATATAAGACATTGTTATGCAACGTGATTTTGTCGCTGTCTTGCTAGCAGGGTTGACAGATATACGATTTAAATCGTACTCATACTATTATTTGTCTATTTTTTAATGTACGATCGTAAAGATTATGATCGTAATTCGACAAAAACATACGACTTTTTGGTTACCTGGCAACATTTTTATTATGAAACGAACATGCTCACATCATCAGTCACATGCAACAATTTATTGGGGATTTCCCCTTCACATCTGGCAGTCCTGCTTGCTAGAATATAGGTAAGTCAGCCACAGTTACTGACGATCGATATTTAAAGGGTATTGTTTTTGTGCTAAATATTTCATAAAAACGTTATTTAATACTTTGCACTGGAAGTAAAATGGATGCTAATTTGAGAGATCAAGATCTTCGTATAAAACAGTTAATAAAAGAAAATCTACGTAAGTACTCTTTTTATACCTAGGTAGGTAAGGTATAATAAACACAAAAGGTACTTAGATCGCGTGTGTTCGAAGCATTTATTCTAATAAATTTAATTTAAAATTGTAGAAAGAAAAAAATGTCTGCCAAGCCGTAGCCGAAGCCGATCTCCAAATATATTTGGTGATAGTGAGACCCAGTGTCCAGATGATTTACCCAGCGTCGTCGCAACAAAGAAAAAAACGAGGATAAAGTAAAAGAAAATTTACTGAAAGAAGAAACAAACTGTTCTAAATGCTTAATTTATGGAGAAGAGGATAAAAGAAATGAGTATTTCGGACTGTTAGTGGCTCAAGAATTTAAATATATACGGCCATGTGTGCGAACGAGGTGTTATGAAGAAATTTTAAAGTATCTACGGGAAGCAAAAGGCCAACATGTTGATCAACTGCAACATGAAAACACTGAAAATTAATTACTTTCATTTTATTATATATAGATTTTTAAAATTTCCTGAAATATTATTAGTTAACGTTTTATTTAATATTGTAGAATTGATCAATACAATTTATAAAAATAATTTATTGGTATTACTTACATATTTTCAAAAAAATACGTAAAAACCTATTTTTTTGGGTGATTATGGGAGTTTATGGGTGTTTATTGGGTTTTTACCAAAGCACCGGGTTTAAACCCGGTGCTTTGCCCATCTGTAGCTAGTATTAAATAGATGATTTTTAGTTTTTATAGAAAACGACATAATTATATGTCTAATTAAACTGTAACAAAATAAGTATCAATACAGTTAGAACAAAGCGCGCCGGTGTCGCCGCCTGTCGGATGTTTGCCGCTATATTTTGTCACATGACGCGCGCCCGGCAATGTGATGTTTACAATGTTAATATCCAAAAAAAACTTGATGTAATTATTAATTACATATAAAAAAATAGTATTTTTCGTAATATTATTTTCATAATAAAGCATTGTTTTAAAAATTTCGTTCATAAAATGTGTATAATGCCTAAGATTCTTACCAATATGATATTATTAAAAAATTCATAAATTAAATTTGTCTAGCATTAATTTCAAAATATCTTAGTTAGGTTCATTTTTTAAAATGAGATCTTTCAAAAAACGTTTATAGTATGCATTTAATTTATTAATATCCCGCACTGTTACTGAACTTTAATTTAGTTTGTTTCTTACTTTATCTACGTATTTAGATAAAAATCATTTCATTATTCAGATAAAAATGCTTCAACATTCCTTTGACTAGACGTTACAAGACGAAAAACAAACAAATTAAAACAAAACCAACGTTATTGTATAAACCACTGCTTAATTACATTATTTATTTACTTCCTAATCAATTGTACAGTAAAAACAAAACAATAGGGCATGATATGGATGGTAAATAAGACACAAAAACAATTTGAACGTAAGCTACACTCACCGTAGCGTGTTGTGCTCTCGACTGGCGTACCGCAGCACCCGTGCGTCGACTACTGGCGGCCGGCAAATTATGTTTAACACTAAATAAAGTTGAACAAACACGTTGGCCGAACGTCACTCACCGTGCCTGATAAGCGAGATGAGATGAGTGTGCGACAATGAAACGTGCACAGATGGTGGACTCCATGTAAAGCACACGTCTTGTTTGGCATTTTTTTTTGATGGGTGAAAATGGAATGGTAACCCCGCCTGCACTATCGGTATACACAGGTGGGGTACCAGTGAGAGATGATAAGTGAGGACGAATGCAGGTCAGTTGGCCTATCGTAATGAATTTAATTATGAAACACAATGGTTCCCAGGTGGTGGAGCGAAGCCTTCTGCCTCCCTCTAATCTTTGACCAGTGTATAGGCATCTAATGCTATTGTGCAGGCTGTCTGGAGATGGCTTGTGTTATGGTGCGATTATCTTGCAATCTGATGTCGCATTTTGTTTTTTTTTTAGATTATTTTAAGTTGTTATCAATTTCAATACAATGTTGTTATTGTATTTACTTGCACAATAACACTTCATATTTTGTTTTTTTTTTAATGGGTGATAATGGTATGGTAACCCCGTCTGCGCTGTCGGTATACACTGGCGGGGCACCAGTAATAGATGACTAACAAGGATGAAAGCAGGTTCGTTAGCCCATCCTGACGAATTTAACTAGAATTAGCCACAATGGTTTCCAGTGGGAACCACGTGGAGGTCGAACTGACAGGGTTTTTTTTTTATACAACTTAGAATGGCAAACAAGTTGAGGGCCCACCTGATGGAAAGTGGTAACCGTCGCCTATAGACATGAGCAGTACCATGGACATAACAGAGTATACTGTTTCGCCTATGATACCCCCCATGCGTTGCCATTCCTGAGGACTCAGATGTTATTCCTTTGTACCCTGTAAATTCACGCCATATCCCATTCTTCAAACTGAAACACAGCCATGCAAACACAACTGCTTCACGGTAGAAACACGAATGGGACAGAGGTACCCAAGCAATCGACTTTTGTACAAAGTCTCCCTCTGGTATATATTCCTAGTAATGGGGCTATTAGACCCCATTACTAACAATCCCTTTCCCCCCGACAATCCTGTGTTATGAAGGTCAGGCTACCATACTTTACATAATTATTTTTTTTATATAAATTTAAAGAATTACAGAAAATATACAAATTAAGGTTAAACTACAAATGATAAATATTGTTTAAAAATATAGACAACAATAATAATAGATATTATATGGATGTTGGACCTGTTCTTGTCTCTCCAATATAATTTATTATTTAATGTTTTTTTATATTTTTTTTCTATAGCCAATTTCAATACACCGTAATAAAAATGTAAAAAAACTAATAATTGATCCGACCATAGGACAGTCTACAAACGTTCTATGGTTGTACAAATCAAACGCATATCAATTAATTGATAAAATTTACAATTCATTATCAACTTTATTGAAAAAATGTTTCTGCGATAATTACAATGAAACTGAGGTAACTTTTCAATTCTACCAGAGGGAGACTTTGTACAAAAGTCGTTTGCTTGGCTAGCTCTGTCCCACTCGTGTTTCAACCGTGAAGCAGTTGTGTTTGCATGGCTGTGTTTCGGTTTGAAGGGTGGGATATGGCAGTGAATTTACAGGGTACAGAGGAATAACACCCGAGTCCTCAGGAATGGCAACGCATGGGGGGTATCATGGGCGAAACAGTATACTGTTATGTCCATGGTACTGCTCATGTCTATAGGCGACGGTTACCACTTTCCATCAGGTGGGCCGTCAACTTGTATGCCATTCTAAGTTTCAGAAAAGATTTATACTTCAATATTCAAACATCTAAAAACAAGAATGTATATTAATAACAACATATCGACTCCCCTCCACTATTTGATGTAATTTATTACGCTTATCGCTCGTGTTTAGTCTACAATTTATTTGAATCTAGATAAACTGTTTTCGAATGTTGTGGGATAGTGCACTGATTTACAGGGTACAGAGGAATAACACCTGAGTCCTCAGGAATGGCAACGCATGGGAGGTATCATGGGCGAAACAGTATACTCTGTTATGTCTATAGGCGACGGTTACCACTTTCCATCAGGTGGGCCGTAGCTTGATGCGATTATAAGTTGTATAGAAAAAAAGTCAAACTGTGTGTGTACTGTGTAATTCAATAATACTGTTGGCGGCAATTGATACTTCCTGCTATCGATAACGGTTTACACCCGTATTGGGCACGCACTCATATTGTTACCATTGATACTAGTATAGTATTATATATATATATATATATATATATATATATATATATATATATATATATATATATATATATATATATATATATCTGTGCCATATCACTATTTTGCACCATTAAAACTTTTTTTAACCAACATGTATTTAAATTTCGTGTGCTCTGGAATAGAATAGGCCACCCCTTCCTTTCCCGTGGGTGTCGTAAGAGGCGACTAAATAGGGTGAGGGATGGGCAGCAGCGTCCCTCTTGAAAAAACCAAAAATCTGCCAACCGTGGCAACTACTGACATAACCCCCCACAGCAGGAGGCGTATGTTCATCAGTGGACAGTTAATGGCTCATATGATGATGATGATAATGATCTACACATATGTAAATTTAATGGCGACTGACGCCACTCACTTTGACATTTTATAATATACCTATTACCTTTTTCCTATCATTTCGAAGTCAATTTAAACTATCAAATCTCTTTTCAAATTTCATTCTTTATGTACGGAGATATTTTCTGATTAAGATCGTGACAGCGCGGTATAGAGGTCGTTAACACGCTCTAGTGATAAGCTGATAAGGTTTGTACTATTTCTAGGTGGATAAGTACATCTTAAAGTGAATGCTGGAGTTATTTAGATACACACAACGAAGTTTGTTGAACGCCGTTCAAGGTATTTTTGGAGTTTATATTATAATTAAATTTATGTGCGTGTAATCGACTGAAGAAACGTAATATAATCTCAACTCAATTGCTCCATTGTAACAAATTTCTTAGAAACTAACCAACATAGGAATACAAAAACAATTACACAGTCATTTCATAATGTTCAAATTGGTGCGAACTAAAGAACGGCCCCTGTTACATAACATAATATTTCTAATCATGTAAAGATAAATATTTGCTATTAAAATTTTAACAGGTACTTAAGTAGACAACGAAGGAAATTAACTGGTAATATACAGGAAATTTATGTGGTAAGTAGCCATTTACGAACATAAAATTATATTAATAAATACTATAAACACCGTTATAATAATATTTCTGTAAATACACACAACGGCCCAAATAAGAGGCTTAGTGCGGTAATAAGAGTCAAATTTACATTATTTCCGCAAATACAATAGAAAATAATTAGCCACATAGAATGTTATGAAAACACGAACAATTCAATACTATTCTATACTGTGCCGCCCGTGCCGCTATTAAAGATGATAATATAGGTACTCATATTAGACGAACGATCCAGATAGGAATTTGCTCTGTTAATCTGCTGCAATTATTCTAAAAATAAGCTGATTTTAAACTATTAGATCTTGAATAGGTATTTAAAATCACACGTTTCAGTTTGTGTTCACATTTTGCGCAAACAAGTAAACAATGTACGGAAACTTTAAATACATCAGTCAAGATTATGTCTCGGCCGGTCACCGAATATTTACTCCGAGTCACAAAGACAGCGACTTTATTACGTTGCGATAAGATTCAAAACTTAACAAGCATTCAACTGTTTTTATTTTGTATTTATCTCGTTACATGTTAACTTGATCCCGGTTTTGTGGAGCAATGACACGTTGACAGTGACATATTGTCCATACATTATGTTTATAATTCGATGCAATTATCATGTGATTTTTTTTCAGATGTGAAAATTAATTAGTGTAAATCCCCGCTCGCGCTATCGGTATACGGTGGCGGGTACCAGTGAGGGATAATAGGTGAGGGTGAAGCAGGTCAGTTAGCACATCGTAACTAATTCAACATTAAATCAATCACGATAGTTTCCAGGGGGAAACCACGTGGAGGTCGAACAATGGGCTGTTAGATATCATTACTTACAATCACTTTCTCCCGACAGGGTATATTGCTGATGATGGGTATTAGCGTCACCCAATACTAACAATCTTTTCTCCTCAATGATCAAGGGGGTTTAAGTTGAAAAATAAGAGGGTAAGGAAGATATTGTTAGTAGTGGGTATTTAAAAGTTCATTCGCGTGGTTCCCACAGGAAACCATCGTGGTTAATTCTTATTGAATATGTCACGAAAAATGTAGAACTTATATTTTTTTTGTTTTGTTGGAAATGTTATGTTTAGCGCCATCTATACAATGTAATAAAAACTAATAAGTAGTTCATATTTTTTTCTATTTAATAATAGATAGCATACCTTTTGTGCTAATTCATTTAATTCTTCTATTCACTAGTAGATGGTAGTAGCTGCAATATTACAGATTAACACTGGTCTTTTAAAAGGACACTACAGATGCCACTATGCTATCCAGGCGGCTTAGTATAGAAATGAGTCGAGTTCCTACTGAGTTTTATTTTTGATGAGTATATATGATAATTGACGATTATTGGTATATTATTATTATAATTTCATACATATTTCTGATTTCTGTCGGGCCTGCACATTTATACATTTTTGTGCAACTTAGAATGACAAATAAGCAAACGGTCCGTCTGATGGAAAAGGGCAACTGTGGATATGACAATAACACTGTGATGCCTCATGCGTTACTATTTCTGATGATTATTATGTTATGCCTCCATACCACAGTACCCGTACTTTCTAATTTTACTATCTTCAGACCGTACAACCACATTTATAACGACAGTTGCTTGCTGTAAGATGAGAAAAAAAGAGTAGCTATAGAGTAAGTAGGTACTACTTAAGCACATGATATTAGTGCAGTCACCCTCAGCTCTCTTCAATCGTACATTTTGGACATCTACTTATTTTTAAGTTAAGCATAATAAGAAGAAGAATATAATAGTGCGGAGGGGGGGGGGGGATTGTTAGCAATGGAGTTGACAGCCCCATCACTAGCAATATGCCCTATCAGGTCGACCT